AAAATGGCAACCATGTATAAGCTGCACTAGTATTTAGTGTTATTGTGTCTCCTTTTGTGATGCACTTGGCACATCTCATTTTGGGATTGGCTATGCTGCTCAGTGCTTTTTAAAGCTGGTTCCCCTTACTGCGTAGCAAAGGTGCCAGAAAGATACATGGTTAGTATATTTGATTGAATAAAGAATAGCAGGAGTGGGGGGGGGGGGGAATAAAGAAGGTATTTTGGGATAGCTAAAATATCCCTTGCCACCAATCGAGAAAGAATTGGAATCTGGGGCTCTATTTACTTATTGATTTATTTTTCAATCAAATATCTTTTAACTTCTGTTTTATTAATTTTACCACCAAGGTGTGCACATGAAATTTTTTTCCCTTTTTTGATTCAAGCATTCTTCTACATTTCACAGCAAGGTTATTATTGTCAAAGGAAGCGTGTAATTTCAGCTTGCTTTGAGGGTGAGATGCGTTCTTTTCATTCGTTATATAAAGAAATCAACACAGATAACCAAACCAAAAGAGGCCAAAATTTCCCATGAGAGTAACCGAACCAAACCATATAACTGGTTCGTTTTTCAAATCACTCTTCCTTATCCCTATTATTGTAAATAGTTTTGTTCTTTTTTTTTTTGGGCTTTCACAAACTAGATATTTGCATGAGTTTTGATATCATCTACAGGTTACAACTTGTAAACAATATTACTCTAGATAACCAATAAGAGTTGGTCCAGTTAGTAAGGAATCAGCTCATAACTCATAATGTCGTGAATTCGAATCTTATTGCCTCTGCAAGCACTCTTTGAGCTTAAAAACATGTTCTGGTCCTTGTGAGTTCTCGGGACCACTTAAATTTTTTTGTACAAAAAAAATATTACTCTAGATACATTACCATCACTAATGTATGCTTAAAATTCTAAAATATTAGTATAACGTTAGTTATAATTAAATAGAGAAAATTAACTAATTCATCTTTAGCCAGTTGTCAACTCGGTACCTAACTCTGTTGAGTAGGTCACCAATGCGTGAAAAAGATTGTTGACATGGAACCATGTGATTGCCAAATAGGATTAAAAAGCCACATCAGCATTGTATCATGTCACCCTTATACCCAAAACCACCTGTTTGCGATCTTCTACCCAAACGGAATAGTAGCCGCCAACTCAGTCACTCTGTTCTAGGAGGTATTCTATTCATCGTCACATGGTAAACTAGTTATATAAGTATTTAATTAATTTAGGTAAATTAAAAGGTTCAAATAAATTTAATTAATACATATCGGCCATGATGTCCTTGAAATTCTCTTGCATAACATTATATTTAAAATCAAATCTAACCTCAAGTATTCTCTTATTAAAGATAATTTTATTTAAAGTACCACTGAACACTAAATGTGAGCATTTATCCTAATGAAAAGGTTTTATTGTGAGGGACTAGCCAATTTAGCCCCTTTTGTTTAACCCAATTCCTATTAATTTTTATTACTTTTTTTAATGTAATAACTATTGCATTAATTTGGAAATGTTAAAAAATTAGATAAATTAGTTAATTATAATAAATACTATACGATCTCTTTAAAATATTAATATGTAACATTAGATTATATATCAATTTACAAATAAAGTAAATTAAGTTGGAGAAAAATGATAAATATAAAAGAAAAAATATATCAAAATCCTTTTTTTTTATAATAAAAGTCAATTTATTTAACTTACAAAACAATAAAATGATACATATAAAACCATCAATTGATCGCAGGTTAGGACTAGTTCGGGGGCTCAAGATCTAAAAATAAAAGCACTTTACAACAAACCAACAGAGGATTGTGGTTAGTAAGCCCAAAAGATGGTGGACACTTCAGAAACTAGTTAAAACTTGCATTTCATTTTGAACCAATTATAGCACCACCAAATCATACATTGATCAAAATCCCATAGAGTAGGAACGAATACAATCTAGTGACATTAATAAAACAAAAGACATAGGAGGACGCCACACAAATCGCCAATTCACACATGTGACCTACAACGCTATTAGCTTTTAAGTTATTAAAAAAAAGTCTCAACATGATCTTGTTAAGAATATAAAGTGGGCTTACAAGTTACATAGAAAATATGTCGACAACTTTAATATAACCAAGCCGGGAGGAAAAACTGAATTGAGATTTTATATTTAAAATCAATTTTATAAGAATTTATATTAGGACTTGAACTTGCATTAGCACAGAAGGGAGTACTATTATTTTAATGTTTACCCAATAGAACAAGTCCCTAAACATACGAGGATCCAAATTATTCATGAAATTAATTAAGGAGAAAGCTTGACACATGGATGATGATAGAGTAAGGATGAGGGAGTGTGCAAGATCATGAACAGCTCACATGCACATGTGGGCATCACAAATTAAAGCAGAATCTCAGCATATGCATCCATCTCCTCTTGTTTTTTTTATTTACTCCTTTTGTCTCAGCCATCAGTGTCGGTTGCTCCTTTCTTAATGCCTACATTGTCCTATTCGCCAAGTAGATTCAGTGTGTCCCCGCGAATACTGAATATATATATATATATATGTGTGTGTGTAGATATCAGCTAAAGTCTCAAAAAATTATAAATCAATACTCCTTCCTGTAATATTTATAAGTTTTAAATTTGAAAAGTGTTGTTGTCTATTTTATAAGTTTTAATTTGGAGTTTGTCTAAACATTTAATATATTTTTTTATTTTTGTTTTTAATTATTTATTCTTTAGTCTTCACCATATACATTCTCTCTTTTTTTCATTTATTATAAACACGTATTTAGAAATAAAAATATATTTCTAACATATTTATTATTCAACTACTTGTTGATTGCTGTAAATTAATTATTTAAAGTTTATAATAAAAATCGGAGAGCGTAATAGTTAAGTCTTTGAAATGTGTCTAAAACAGTGAGTTGTAAACATCACATAGCTGCAAACATAAATCTTGTTTATTAACTTACATTTAAGATTTAGATGTTATCTGCAATATTTGATACTTCTAAATTTATAATTGTCAGAATCAACATTTGTAACTTATTTATTTTTAGAAAATCTTGTTGAGAACTTAACTGTTATTAATTCAATCTTTTAAAATTTTACTGTCATTCTTTCTATATTGTTTTCACTAGTAGCATTGTGATTTTCTCTTGTTGGTTGATGATGTACACAGCTAATATCTAGACTTTATAGGGGATTTTCTTGGTGAAATACACCCAATAAGTAAAAATTTAGGTAACTTACATTTCTTAAAATAATTTCAACTGAAATAAGAACAATGAAATCCATATATAATGAATTGAATATATTTTGTGAGCCTCACATGAACAAAAGTGAGACTTGATATTTTCAAACTAAGTGATAACAATATTGTGGTTTGACTAATCATTTTGTTCCCTCAAAACATCATGATATCACCCATCTTTTATAATTTTCACAGCAAAGCACCAACTATAATTGATTATTAATGACCATAATAAGTTCAACGATTAAGGCAAAATAATTAAATGGATGCTTAATTTCATCATGCTCATTTATAATTTCTCTCGAAATTCTGTTGAAATTGACTTAGACATTGATGTATTTTCCTTGACATTATGATTTTATCTATGACTTTTGATATTGATTGATGAGATACTTGAGGAGTTTGGATATCACACAAGTCGGAGAGCGAGTATTATTATTTATAATTTATAGATAATATGAATTATTCATAAAATAGTAGCACACAAGTGATTGACAAGTTTCAAAACAATAAATAATGTCAAAATTCATGTTATTCACTTCTCACTTCCTGGTGAGATTTTTGACAATTATATTATTCTAAGGAACTCATAATGATTTCTCCTAATGGCTAATATATATTACTTGTAATAAATAGTGTGGTTTTTTATGACTTTTATAAATATACTAATGATAGTTGAATTTGTATGCATCACATAAAAAGAGCTTATGTTATTTATAATGTGTACATAATATAATTAACATAAATTTTATTAGAAATTTCACGCTTACAACCTGATGGTCTGGTTAATTGTTGTGATTTTATAAATTAAGAGAGAGAGAGAGAGAGAGCTGAGAAGACAACCTTTTGACTGATATTGATAATATCCAAACTTATATTTTAGCAACAAATGATTCTATCATCGGAGGAAACAAAAAGAAATTACCCATTCTCAATCTGGAAAGGGGAACGATGACAGATGCTGAAATGCAAATCTAACTGAAGAGAATGATGACAAATGGACTAGAGTTTGTGCAAAGAAAGGAGTTATTGTTGGGGACTTACAAAAGACATAGTTAAAGTGAAAATCAAATCATTATTTTAAAAATAATTTTATCGCATACAAAATATGTGAGAGAAATTATTTACTTAAAAAAACTTTTGAGAGAGAACTAAACACCCCTTAATCATACAAACTCCGGAGGTGTTTATATAGAAACAAAATGAACTAAGGATTTGAAAGATGTTGGGTAATGGATTAATCACGCCAAATGCAAGTAAAGTTATAGTTATGCCCTCATGTTTTCACACTCTTAAATAACATGGAACTTTTTTTTTTTGGACACAGCCGTGTTACATCTATAACAAGCAGTCTCTCCCAATATTAGCGCCTGAGGAAATAAGATTCAAATCTTCGTAATTATTTGCACTTAGTGCTTGAAGTACTTCAAACACAATTGCTTCTAATAAGATAAGATGACTTATGTGGCTATAAAAATAAATGATGACAAATGGAAGGGTGACAAGCGCAGAAGCAGGGCTGGTTCTGAGATCTCCATTGGTGTCACCTGACTGCCATCCTCTGGGCTCACATAAAGACAAAGTCAAACGAAAATGAGACCCGAATCAGCAAAAAACGCGCTTTCATTTTTCAACGTTCATGCACTCTCTCATTACTCATCACACCCAAACCAGCTGTGATCGTCAATTATATCAATTATAAATTCTACTATGAATTTTAAATTCAAGTCAGGATATTTTCTTTTTATAAGTAAACAAAAAAGATCGCCTTTTTGGTTGCAGATCCATACTAAGAAAACATAGTTTTCTTTTCTGCTATAGGAACGGGTTTCCCTCCGCTTTCCGGCTATGATCAAGTTTTAAGGGTTTTCTTCAAAACCTTAATTACTTGCATATTGCTCTCTTTCTGGGAAGCTTCTGGGTGTACCTACGAATCACTAGGACAATACGACGTTTCCAAATTTAGAAGTTGTCGCTAGATATTATTGGGATTGATTGGATAAAGCTTCTAGAAATGGAAAGTTCCAAGGAGAAGAGAGCGGAGAAGAGAGGGTACGAGCTGGTCGACAGTGTCGATCCAGAGCATCTATCCCAATCAAAGAAGCCAAAACTACCTGGTTTGGCCAGGTACTGCAATAAAGCTTATTGTTCTATATGCTCAGAGGCTGCTTGTAATTTGGGCTCTATTAAAAACTTAGCATTACGATGTTCTTATAGTTTTATCAAACTGGTTCCGATCATTTATGAAGCTAGTTTTATCAATCTCTTGAAATTATGTTAGGTGATTATAGGCATAATTAATGAGTACCCATCTTGGTTAGATTTGAATATGAACATGAATCTCTTGTTTTTGAATTTGGAAGGTCATCATTTGTTGATTTTAACCTTTATGTCGTTGGTATCAGCTGTCTTCAATTGAAGGTGTCGGTTTATTTCTTTCTGTGCACGTAAATGTGAATTCTGTGGCACTCATCCATTGGTTACTCAAAACTTTGTAGTGTAATCGTGGAGGCTTTGAAGGTGGATAGTTTGCAAAGACTTTGCTCATCTTTGGAACCTCTTCTCAGGAAAATTGTGAGTTAAGGGCACTTTCTTTGTATGAATTCTTGCTGAAATACATGGGAATGTTTTCTCTGTCTGCTATGATTTATAATTTCGTAGTCAGCTATGGGCTCTCTGCTTCAGCACTTGATTCTAATAAGAAAGTGAACTTAAAATGGAAGTTTTTTCAGGGAATAGCGTGTATTCTCCAAGTCAAAGGAGAGAGATACAAATAAAATTCATGGTACATGTAAGAATTCGTCAAAATTAAAGTCAAGACAAATGAATCAAGTAGGATGAAAAAGCAGAATGAGCATAATTTGCAGGTCTATTAACTTTTTAGGTAGAGCTTGAGAGATACTGCTGTATGTTTGTCACTTTCATTTCAAAAGAGTAGCTCTATGTTACTGGATCTATTTATTACTTATGAGAAATCTAAAGTAGATTCGGTTAATAAAGGATAAGTAGATAAAGCCAATTATATAAACAGATATACAAGTGTGCCAAGCGAACCATGAAATCCACCATTGAAATGCTTACATATTTGTTCTTGCTTTGCTTGATATATTTGTAATTGGTGGAATCTACCTAATAATTTCTCCATTGCTTACTTGTTTGTAAACATTTAAGTCATCTGATTAAAGTATAATATTTTTTATTATACTATGCTTATCCTGCTAATTCCCTGAACGCTAGGTTAGTGAAGAAGTGGAGCGTGCATTGGCGAAACTGAGCCCTGTTAAACTGGTTGGAAATGGAAGGTTTGTTATCCCATCATACTGAAGCACTAAAAGTTCTTTTGTTTCAGTTATGAATACTTTGTCGGCAGAAACTAAATGAAAATATTAAACATCGAGATTTGAGCTCATGTGATTCTTATCATTATCATATAAACTCATTTGTGCAAAATTCTATGAAATGATATTCCTATTGAATATTGTTCTTGCATTATTTCATCGGTTACATTTTACCTGTGTCAGATCTCCACCGCCAAGCATTGAAGGGCCGGGGGCAAAGAATCTGCAGCTTCATTTCAGAACAAGAATGCCACCACATTTGTTCACTGGCGGGAAGGTTGAGGGAGAGCAAGGCGGAGCCATTCATGTTGTGGTGGTAGATCCTAACACAGGCCATGTGGTCCAAACTGGACCATTATCGGTTGCGAAATTGAACATTGTTGTACTTGAAGGCGATTTTAATGAGGAGTCTGATGATGAATGGACACAAGAACACTTTGAAAGCCATGAAGTAAAGGAGAGGGAGGGGAAAAGGCCACTTCTAACTGGAGATTTGCAGGTTATATTGAAGGAAGGGGTGGGAACCTTAGGAGATCTTTCTTTCACTGACAATTCTAGTTGGATAAGGAGCAGAAAATTCAGGCTTGGCATTAAGGTGGCTTCTGGTTGTTGTGAGGAGATCCGTGTTCGTGAGGGCAAGACTGACGCGTTTGCTGTTAAAGATCATAGAGGAGAATGTGAGTTTTCTAACAGTAACCACTTTATTTTCTGCTTAAAAAGGAAAATATCAGGCGTGTTCTTTGAGACTCAGGTACTGAATCACTGAAAATACAAAGGTAGAGATTAAAAATTTTGTATCAGTAGTATATGACTGTGAACTTCTGCCTGACATCCTTACATCAATACTAACATGCAAGGCTGTATATTGTTAAGGATCTTGATTTCTCTGCTTGGGGAACGGACATTCAAATTCTGCTTTTTGTCACTATTTAAGCTTTTCTAAAAGCATCATAATAGAGTTCCCTTAGTAACCCATGTTAATTTCCATTATCTGCAATATGCAGTATACAAGAAACACTATCCACCTGCTTTGCATGATGAGGTTTGGAGACTGGATCGTATAGCAAAGGATGGGGCACTGCACAAAAAATTGATTCAAGCAAATATAGTAACTGTGGAGGATTTCCTTCGTCTTCTAGTCAGGGACCCTCAGAAGTTGAGAAGTGTAAGAATTTCATATCATTTGCTCATTCAGAAACACAAATGTACTTCTCTATTTTATTTTTTTAACAGAATACTTGATTCTTTCAACTTTCTTGTTTTCTCTCATTACAACAGATACTTGGTAGTGGAATGTCCAATAGAATGTGGGAGAACACTGTGGAGCATGCCAAGACATGTGTCTTGGGTGGTAAGCTGTTTGTGTATTATACCAATGAGACCACTGATGTCGGTATTGTGTTCAATGATATATATGAGCTGAGAGGCCTTATAACTGATGGTCAGTTCTACTCTTTGGAATCACTTACACCAAATCAGAAGGTAATTTTACCCATACCGATTGATGAAGATGCATATTCCAGATCAATCTTGTATTCTTCTTAGCTTTGATCTGTAATCAACATGACTATTTGACCATCTCTTCTGCATTTAGATCATTTAATGAGAATTTGAATTACAGATGTCTGTAGATTCATTGGTGAAGAAGGCTTATGAAAATTGGAACCAAGTTGTTGAATATGATGGCAAGGTTTTAAGTTCTCTTACAAATTCCAAAAGTGGATCGAGAACTGCAGCTCAACCTACAGTACATCACAATAACCATGTCACAGAACATCAGTATGCTTCTGCGAAGAATAGGCTGCAGTATGTCTCGCCTGAACCAAACCAACACTTCCAAATGCAAAACAACAACTCTTATGCTGCTAATTCGTCTGCATTTGGGAAAAGTGATAATCAGATTTTAGGGACAGCATCAAATGACTCCCAATTAGCATTGACTGGCAGCATGAATTACATGGCAAGTCAAAATCCTGCAGTTGAGGCTGCATATTTCCCGGGAGACTGGTCTCGACAGAGAAGTGGGCAAGGACTGGAAGACATTGTGGCTGGAGAAATCCGTCTTAGGAGTTCAGAGATGCTAGAGAGTGATGATATGCAGAGGTTGCTTAAGACACTTAATGTTGGTTTTGGTCATCCTAATGATGCTTGTTATTCCTACAGTTTGCAGTATGAACCTCAGACATATCAAACCTTTAGTGAGGATCACACGAAGCCTTCAGGGAAGGCAGTGGTGGGATGGCTCAAGCTCAAAGCTGCTTTAAGGTGGGGAATATTTATCAGAAAAAGAGCTGCAGAAAGGAGAGCACAGCTCACTGAGTTGAATTGAGTTTCAAGAGTCATTTCATTCAATGCATATAGCACTTGAGATAAAAATGATAAAGGACGTTGCTGCGTAATGCAAAGTTATTGGAGTCGTTGCTTGCCGACTAAACCTGGAACAAGAAGAAGCGTGTTGTGCTGTATCAGAATGAACCATGCTTTATCTAACTGGCAGTTTACAATTTAGTTGGCGCACTGTGTTGTAATGTTGTAACATGATCGCCCTCTATTTATGTGGGCAGTTTTCTGTTGTTATTTTGTTGTGATGTTTTTTTTTTTTTGGTTTCTTTATCTTCTATGCATCAAAAATTTGTAATGTGACCTCGTATGATAAATAAAAGGACTACAGCTAATTTTTCATTCATGTTCAAGTAATTTTTCAGAAGCCAATCATTATAACAAGTTATCATTTAAGTTAATCCCAAAAATTAACTCTCCTCTTCCTTCTCCATTTCAGAAAGAACCTCCAAAGTTCCTCAGCTCCGCCAACTTGTTTTTAATGCTTAAAAAATATTTTTGTTCGAATGTTGTAGCCATCAAACTGTCAAGATAAGAAGCTAACAGAAAAGTTATGATTTGCCTGTATAAAATGCAAGTTTCTTCAGGAAACGCAGTATATTAACAAGTTTTAAAAAAATTCGTGCCTTCCAACAACTTGTTTTTGGGCCTTCATTTTTCTTCCACACCTTAAATTAGTAAATGATAATATAGCTTCTCTGATTTTAAAAGAAGCTTGTGAGTAGAAGCAAAAATTGGCTACTCAAATACACCACTCAATGAAAAAACATTTTTCTCTCCATTAATGGATCCGGTAGTTTTGGTGGGGAAAGGATAACGTTGAGTTTAATGGTTAAAGCTTTCAGTTTGGGATTTTCTTGAGTTTAGCAGAAGGGATTAATTCCCCATAACTTTAGTGAATTAATATTCCAATCCTCACTTAAAGAGATGTTTATATTTTGATGCCCGACAGCACCTTGAAGCCTCCGATAAAAAGGTACTTGTGTCTAAAAATAAAAAGCTTGCAATTTTCTATGCACTAGAAAGATATATGAACTATTTATATGTTGTATTTTGTAAATTGTAAATTGTAATTAAATAATTTTTTAAAATAATATTATTCAAAAACATATTTAATTAATTTTACATATTTTTTTCAAAAATATATCATAATTAAAAATAGCACTACCTCCCGTCCTCAATATAAGATCTCGTTTGATTTTTATTTTGATCCTAAATATAAGACTCTAATTTACTTTGTTTATCATATTTATGCATTTTTTTCAAGGTAGTCCTTTTAATAATAATAGTTGTAGTCAATGCACTTGATTAGCAAGGATATTTTTTTAAAAAAAAAACTTATTTATTATAAATAACTAATTTAACTTATTTTCGTAATCTACTCAAATTAACCATTTAGTTCTTATATTTAGGACGGAAAGTAGCATTTTAGACCATCCAATCTAACTTGAATCAATCAAATTTATATGTGCACCGGCGGATCTTGGAAGTTTGACCCATACGTCCAAAAGTCATTGAATTAGCTGATCATTCCGAGAGCCAGTAATAATGGCCAATGCCCAACTGGACCAAGATTCTCCCAAAAAAAGAAAAAGAAAAGCCATAATCCCAATTTGTATTGATCCTTGATGACAATGACGATTAGAACATGGATAATTAATTAGTATTTGCACCGTGGACTTCTAATCTTAAACCATTGACACTTTAAAAAAAAAATGAAAGCCTTTGATATTCAATAATTCATCTAGCCTTGCCTACACCAAAACAGAAAACAATAGTAATAATAATAAATTTCTTTCCTTATGATGACCACCTATATAGTATATAGGTAAACTCAACTCAGTATGACACTTAAATAGTCAAATTTGGTACATTCATTTACACTTCCAACCTAAAACTTTGGCTAATTGGGCAGTGTCTGGATTCTCTGTTGCAGAGAGACAAAATGAGATGGGACTGATGATAGATTTGGCACAGTTTATTTATACACAAACTCAGCATGATATAGGATTTGGGTGTTGCACATTTGTCAGTTTCTCTAAATAATTATGCTATCTGAAACCAAAACCCAAGCATTTTCCATGCTTACTTTGAGAAAAACTACGATTTGGAGTTGCTGGTTGTGTTGTTGGGACTGGTAGTTTCTCCATGGCACTTAAGAACTGGCGCAAGTGCTTCAGGTACTCTGGAAATGTTTCTATGTTACAATGTCCGGCACCATTCACCCACAAAGGATCATACTTTTCCTTTGAAAGCTCCCACAGTCGCTTCCCATGTGAAAAATCAACTACATCATCGTTTGTTCCCTGCATGATGAAGCACATATAAAACTAGTGTTACTAGTACTTGAATGACATATTACTTCGTCAAAGACTACACCATGTCACTTTTGAGGCTTGAGACAACACGCATTTAGTAGTAATTTGATTTTTAAATTAGAGGGTAGCCATTAAAGGTCTAAGGTTACAAACAGTAATAAGTGACCTCCAACTTATAAGGGAGCTTTCATGTCACTAGACTACAAAGTCATTGGCTAAAAAGAGAAGTGTGACACGAGAACTTTTCAAGAAGTCACCTATCCTGATATTTTTCTTACTCAAGCACACTTAACCAGAGAATTAGCTTTTACTAGTACTTTGTAATCTAGCAAAAGCACTCTATCAAAAAATACAGCAAACATTTCAAATGGCATTCAAAATGTCTGTTGCATTTTACATGCCAAAAAGGTATGGCAGACATTCCAAAGGCAGTTTAGATAATGTTGTTGCCTTATGTAATGCGATAAGCTATCATCACTAGAAACAGTACATGAGATTGCCCTTAGTTCAAAAGAGAAGCCCCAGGAATAAACCCTTGAGCAACAAAAGATCAGAAGCATGGAAGGAAGAAATACGTACATGTATAACTAACACAGGACAGTTGACATGCCGTATCTTGTCTATATTCTGCAATGATAGAATAAATCCTTTGTCAGTAGAAAGCTCAGGGCTCTGAAGAATACAACAGACTAAAGAACAATGAAGAATGCCACAGAAGAGAAAACTTTACTTTGAATATGTCAAACCAGAACGTCACTTTGACATTGTACAAAACCCTTATCCCTGAAAGGATGGCACTGTGAAGAACAACACCTCTCAACCTCGGTAATTTAGAAGCCATGTGTAGAGCGGGGCCACTTCCAACTGATTGACCATATAAGATTAAATCTTCTTGCCTAACTCCATAATCGCACTTCAAACAATTATAAACAGCCTCTATATCGTGATATGTGTTGAACTCCGTTGGCTATGACAAAGAGAAAATCATATATTAACCACTGAGACTCACCAGTGAACACTAGATTAAGTCAGAGAAAAACAGAAAAGCCAAACGGAATTGAGAATCTTGCTTTCTTATATAGATCATTTTCTCCCAAACATCAGAACACTGGACGGGCTAAACTAACTTCCGGTTAATGAAGAATCGATGAGAATCCATTCATTTGCAAGCAGTATAAAAGAAGAACAGAACAGGGGACAAAAGGGAATTACTCAGATTACTTACCTTGCCCGTAGATGCTCCATATCCCGAGTAATCGTACCTGCAATTTAACATAAAAGTTACATGAAGTTAATGGGTAAGAAACTACTTCTAAATGTATCCTTCAAATTGATGAAAAATCTAGGATCCTAGAAGCTGCCAGGCCAAACAAAACAAACATTTCGTAAACGGAAAAGGAGAGAGCAGGCTAGAAGCAAGCATTCTGAAACAAATATGAATTACCCTTTTCTATCTGGTATGAGTAAGAACCATAACTAAATCAAAACATATGAAGAGTTCAGTTAGCAAACTGAGTTAGGGAAAAGAAATGAATTCCGTCAGCAGAAACGATTTAAAGAGAACAGAAATGTGACGTCAAAAACATAACAAAATTTGCATAAGCAGAACGAAACCGTTGCTGACGCAGAAGCAGGGAGTCAGAGAGAGGGGAACGTATCAAATTTCAAATTAACCAAAAGGCAACCAAACTGTATATCGTTGTGCAAGTATTATGACTAGCATCTCATTAACCTGCTTCATTATATGAAATCCAAATCAAAGAACAATTTGAAGGGGGGGGGGGAGAAAGAAGAAAGTTAAAAATAGAAAGATAACCCCATGATATTGGCACGAAGATGAGATCTGAGCGCATTGAAAAGCTCTTGCATCTGACCCATATCAGCAGCATTACCATGAGAGTACAAAATCGTGAACCTCGCAGAAGGGTGTCTCCAAAACATGGCCACAACACTATTGCCATTCTTCGTCTCAATCAGATGAACGTCGAGGTTCTTATCGGCGGCAATGCCGGAGAAGACAATCTTCCCATCCGGCTCTCTGTGAACGTCGTAGGTTGGTGGGTCTGGCGGGAAAAATGCGAATTTCGCAGCCACGCCTCCCGTAACATTACCCATCAGCACAAACCCACCTCATAAATGGAAGACGCTACACCCAATTTGTTTGGTAATTTCCGCATGAAGGACGATGAAGAAGAAAATATCCAGGGGATCGAGATATTCTGGATTACTCAATCTTTGACTAAATCTTCCCTTGTTGCTTTTTTTTTTTTTTTTTTTCCCGGGCTACCTTTGCTTTCCGAGAAAAATGATACTGCATGGGTTTTGGAAAAGTTTTACAGGGGACGACGAAAGGCATAACAATTGACCGGCGATGAAAATGATGCTAAAGAAGGTAAGGAAGTAATGGTAGAAAATAGATCCAACCAAAGCGGGTGAGCTCAGGAGGACCACCCACCACCTAACTTCACACAGGAAGAAAAAGGAACAGAAACAAAGGAAACAACGTTTAGATGAAAATAACGATTGATGAAATTCAAACGAGTTTTGCTTGGATTATTAAGAAACTGAAGGCAAGTTCGTCATCGGGTCAACGCATTGACGGGACATATCTCACGTCATGTGTTGAGAATGAGAAGTCAGATTTGACCTTTTACAGAATTTCTTTTCGGCCCTAAAACGGATCAAGAAGCAGCAGGCAGCCATATTGAAAATTTATCTTTATTCAAACACCATGTTAGCACTTACCGTAGTAAAACATTGTTTCATACTCTATAGTCATTTGATTAGGCTTAGTAATTTGATCAAGGTACCTGGTCAAAAAGAAGTAACTTGATTAAGGTAAGAATTATTAGTTTCTACTCAACAAGATCATATCTAACATTACCTTTTGACATTTAATTTAATTTTAAACGGAAGACCCCAGTCTCTGGTCTTCCTTTGACTGGCCTATTTCTCTATTTCCTTATAGTTTTTATATGTTAAAACTAATACATATAATTAGAAGACACATTGCAGAAGAATTACTCAAATTCCCA